TTTTTTTTTCTGTGTTTGAAATGTGATTTCATATTTTATATGAAACCTGATAAACGATGATCGAGTACTACAGCTAAATGAAGTTAGCCTGCTCCATGCAAAAGAGGAATGAAAACAACACAGTTTTTAAGAATTAAATTTTAGTGTAGCTTGTTCACATTGTCTTCCCTGAAATATTTTACTTTCTAGTTGGATATGCATGTGTGCTGTCAAGGCCTTATCTTTATCAACTATTCCCAAAATATTACTGGTGGCCTACCGTATTAATATAATTAATCCAGGTGCACACGCACCCCATAAGCTTGGTGTTGTTTGAATATTAGCAATACTAAGAAATACTGGGGTACTTGTGTTACCAACAAGCTTGGCAATTACAAGTAGTTTTTAAACATTATTTTTTTAGAGTTCAATGTGATAGAGAGCGTGGTAATAGAGAAGTATTCCATTTGGGTTATGATTATAAAACAATCACAGATCTGCTACATACAGGTCTACCATGGCATCACTATGAGTGTTCGCACTCTTAAAAGGAGACTGCAGGGCTATAATCACGTGAATAAGAAAATACATGGCGTTGATGAAGACTTGATTAGGAACATCATTAGAACATCATCGTTTATCAGGTTTTATATAAAATATGAGATCACATTTCAAACACAGAAAGAAAAAAAAAGAAACCATCATTAACCTGCGTGCACTTTCGGGGCAAAAATTGGCCATGGCATACTGACTCAGACTTTCGCCACATGAGCTGCAAAAATTCACCATTATCAAAAATGGTGGACTGCTACTAGAGAGAAGCCTGGGCTATAGGTCCCAGTACTTTGATTTCCACGGAGGAGGCTCATTTCTTACGGAGGCTCATTTCTATGGAGGAGGCTCAGTTCTACGGAGGAGGCTCATTTCTACGGAGGAGGCTCATTTCTACGGAGGAGGCTCATTTCTACGGAGGGGGCTCATTTCTACGGAGGAGGCTCATTTCTATGGAGGAGGCTCATTTCTACGGAAGAGGCTCAGCTCCACAGAGGGGGCTCACTTCTATGGAGGAGGGTCATTTCTACAGAGGAGGCTCATTTCTACGGAGGAAGCGGATTTCTTCAGAGGAGGCTCATTTCTAAGCAACAGGCTTATATTGGTACGGAAAACAAGAACAATTGCAAAGAGAAAGCAAGGTTTTAATTAGAAACGTGTTTGTTTTACAGTGTGCAGCAGTGGCACCTGTGGGCCACCGTACTGATGTGATATGTACTTTGGGACTACTTTTAAGTTGGTAATTAAAGTTCCTCATGGTGAGAAAACAAAACTGTTTAACTTTTAGTGAGAACTGTTGTAAATGAAGAAATTAACAACTCAAAGGACTCTAATGCTGAGTACTGACAATAGCATAAAAAGTCAACCCACCTCTACACCATCACCATAAGAGTGTTTGTGTCTTCAAAGGCTCTCTTTACCTAAACACAGGAAATGGAAATAAACGGTGATATTAGAGATGAGAATGTTAGTGAGTGTCTCCAAGGCAGAAAGAGCAATTATTACAAAGAACTTCAGATATCCCAAAAATCTAGACTTCTGATTTACCTAATGACAGTTCACTTTCTTGTCTCAGAAACACTGGTTGGAAAAACAATGTTAGAGGGTCAAGTCTCTCTAAGAGAAAAACTCTCTTATTTCTTGGATACATCTATCAAGCGTGTTCAAAACTGGAGGCACTTGGCTGAGCTTCATGGAATTTCCACTGACCTGTCACAGGAACGCCTCTCTAAGTCTGAAGCACTGTTTGAAGTTGTAGGATCACGCAACCCAAACCTCCCGATTGGAGATGTGAAACAACACCTAAGTGATCTGAAAATAATTGAAGTGAGGGATTACTTAAAAAGCCATCATGGTACGTTGAAATTATATGTGACATAGCTTAACTTCAAATCTTTGATTTTGCCAAGAAGTACAAATCCTGACAAAGTAGCCTGACGAAAAAAGGCACTACCAGTACTAATTGCATTTATTAAAATATTTGAAAAGGGTTGTTTGCAAAATTGTTGTCAGTGATAACTTTTCTCCCAGTTTCTTTTTCTGAAAAGGCTCAAGGTTAACTTTTCAGTGCAATAGCAAAGTTTTGATGGCAAAATTAAAAAAGAAAAAAGCAAAACCACCATCAAATTTATGACTGTTTTTCCTTTCCTGTTCTGCCACAGGCAGCCCAAGCTCTCTTTGAGAACCACACAAGGAACACAATTTGCAAATCGATTTATAAGGATTTGTATGGGATTTTCTACAAGATATCCATGGAGATAGTTAAAAGTGAAAATAATGAATAAAAATGGCTTACCCTATTCCACACATGTGTTGTTTGCTCCTGGTGTCGTTATTTTACCGATTTAACTTGATTTAAGTGAGTTTTTTCTTAATCCTAGTTTTCTCTTCTTAAAGTAAAATAACGACACCAGGAGCAAACAACACACGTATGGAATGAAGTAAGCCATTTTTATTTAATATTTTCTCTTTAACTATCTCCATGGATATCTTGTAGAAAATCCCATACAAATCCTTATAAATTGATATGCAAATTGTGTTCCTTGTGTTGTTCTTAAAGAGAGCTTGGACCACCTGTGGTTCTGCTTCAAGAATTTGCAACCAGCTTAATGCACCAAATTTTCTCTCACCAACAGGGTACCCTACAACTAAAACAATAAACAACCACAAAGACAAAATAAAAAGGTTATTTCAAGGTAATAACACTGACAATAGGCCATTTTACAGTTGTGTACTTAGTTGCCAAGCCTTTGATTCAGAGTGAGGCTAAAGATGACCTTGTTGTGATAGAGACCTGTATCTAGTTAGCATGATAACAAAGTGATTTACATTTGAAAGGCAGCAAGGTTTGTATCATAACAAGGTCATCTCTAGCCTCACTCCTGTTCAAAGGCTTGGCAACCAAGCACACAACTGTAAAAAGGACTATTGAGAAATAAAGTGTTTTCATTGGTAGATGGAATCAAGATTAAAGACTTTTTACAAAGTCAGGATCCAATCACCCTAAGCAGAGTTTTTCTCAAGCTTGACCATCTCCCAGATGGAAAATGGCAAAGTCTGGGGCTCAAGTTGGGTGTGGAGCATGAAGGCCTAGAGCAGATAAAGATTGATTGTGCAAACCAGAACGAAAATCCAGCTCATGTGGTGATAGAGTACATTTATCGAAGGTACCCAACGATGTCCATGGGAAAATTCAAGAAATATTTAACAGATATTAATAGAAATGATGTGAAGGACAAGCTGAATGAAATGAAAGGTGTGTTTAAGTGATAAGAATTTCAATATCAATCTTCTCTATTATGCTTCAAGTAACGATCAAGTAAATCTCATCCTTCCTCTACACAAACATTTTATAAATTATGGCCTTGTGAAGGCAATCCCTGGGAGCTATCCTCAGAAATCTTTCTTTGTAGGGAAGTGTACCCAGTCCTCTAATTCTGACCAAAACCTCTCATTTTTCTTGCCTATCTTCAAACCTTCCCTCTGAAATCCATCTGTCCTCGTTCTTTCATCCCCTGCAAAAGTGGACCTGTCTTGTGTAGTTGCTCTGTTTCTACTATCGCTTCATTTCTAGGCAAAGCGTTTCACTTTCATAACTAAAAGCTTAGTACTGCGTTTCTGCAAAAAGAAAATAGGACAAATTAAATCATTTATTCACCAATTAGCTCTGTGAGGGTGAATTAGTATAACTCCAAAATATTTTATTACAATGCGAACTACCTGAACTTCACTGCAGAAATCAGCCGTATAGACAGCGACATGATTTAAAAATATTAATCCCGGCCTGAAGTATGGTACAAAACGGAGAGCTTCTTCGGTTTCTAGAAAAACATAACTACTAACAGTAACACCCTGACGCAAAGTGTAACACAACGCCATTGCCCAAATACATGGAAGGCAGCCATATATGTTGCATATGTATATTAGGGGTATACTTTATGTACGCCTAAGTGTAATGTAACCTAACACAGCTATGCCTTCCTAACGGCTATACACGGCTATGCACAGTTATATAGGGCTACATGCAGCTATACACGGCTATACACAGCTATACAAGGCTATACACAGCTATACACCGCTATACACAGCTATACACAGCTATACACAGCTATACAAGGGTATACGCAGCTATACACGGCTATACACTGCTATACAAGCTATACACAGCTATACAGGGCTATACACAGCTATACGGGGCTATAGAGAGCTATACAACGCTATACACAGCTATACAGAGCTATACGCAGCTGTACAGGGCTATACACAGCTATACACGGCTATACACGGCTATATCGGGTTACACCCAGCTATACACAGCTATACAGGGCTATACACAGCTATACAGTGCTGTACACAACTATACAGGGCTATACACAGCTATACAGGGTTAGACGCAACTATACAAGGCTATAAACAGCTATACATGGCTATACATGGCTATACCGCACAGCTACATAGGGCTACACGAAGCTACACACGGCTATACACAGCTATACAGGGCTATACACAGCTATACAAGGCTATACACAGCTATACAGGGCTTTACGCAGCAATACAGGGCTATACACAGCTATACATGCACGGCTATAAACGGCTATACAAGGGTATACGCAGCTATACACGGCTACACACAGCTATACAGGGCTATACACAGCTATACAGGGCTATACACAGCTATACAGGGCTACACGCAGTTATACGTGGCTATACACAGCTATACACGGCTACACCCAGCTATACATGGCTATACACAGCTAAACACGGCCATACACAGCTATACAGAGCTATACACAGGTATACAAGGCTATAAACAGCTATACAAGGCTTTCACAGCTATACAGGGCTATACGCAGCTATACACGGCTGTACACAGCTATACATGGCTATAAACGGCTATACACAGCTACATATGGCTACACGCAGTTATACACGGCTATACTCAGCTATACAGGGCTATACACAGCTATACACATGCCGTGTATACCTGTGTATAGCTCTGTATAGCTGCGTATAGCCCTCTATAGCTGTTTATAGCCAGTATAGCTGTGTATAGCCCTGCATGGCTGAATATAGCCCTGTATAGCTCTGTATAGCCTTGTATAGTTGTGTATAGCCCTGTATAGCTGCGTATAGCCCTATATAGCCCTGTATAGCCTTGTATAGCTACGTATAGCCGTGTATAGCCGTGTATAGCCTCGTATAGCCATGAATAGCTGCGTATAGCCGTGCATACCCGTGTATAGCTATGTATAGTCCTGTATAGCTGCGTATAGCCGTGTATAGCTCTGTATAGCCTTTTATAGCTGTGTATAGCCTTGTATAGCTGTGTATAGCCGTTTTTAGCCATGTTTTGCTGTGTATAGCGCTGTAGAGCAGCATATAGTCCTGTATAGCTGTGTATAGCCCTGCATAGTTGAAGATAGGCCTGTATAGCTGTGTATAGCCCTGTATAGCTGCGTATAGCCTTGTATAGCTGTGTATAGCCGTGTATAGCTGTGTATAGCCCTATATAGCTACGTATAGCCTTGTATAGCTGCGCATAGCCGTGTATAGCTGTGTATAGCCTTGTATGGCGTATAGCCGTGTATAGCTGTGTATAGCCTTGTATAGCTGTGTATAGCCCTGTATAGCTGTGTATAGCCTTGTATAGCTGTGTATAGCTGTGTAACATATATGCAACATACATGGCTGCCTTCCATTAAGTATATACCCCCAAATTAAACGCGACAGCGTTTACGCATAAGTACAATGGACCTATCCGCTGACAACTTTCTGTGAGACTGCTTTGCAAGTTCGTGTGAGCATCCTGTCACAAATGCTGCAATCCAAATGGCTACGTCACTCGCCATCCAATGACAAAATAGATTCCATGTTGCCATGCATCTGTTCACTTAGATTTCACAAATGACGTGAAATGTACCTAGAACAAAAAAGTGGCGTAGTCGAGTGTGCCACTGATGTTCTTCTGTGAGGGTCTCCCAGAGGCGGTCCAAGCTCGCTTTTAAGAACCACAGAAGGAACACAATTTGCATGTCGATTTATAAGGATTTGTATGGGATTTTCTACAAGATATCCGTGGAGATAGTTAAAAGTGAAAATATTAAATAAAAATGGCTTACCTTATTCCATACGTGTATTGTTTGCTCCTGGTGCCGTTGTTTTACCGATTTAACTTGATTTAAGCGGCTTTTTTTAGTCCTGGTAAAAAAAACCTCTTAAATCAAGTTAAATCGGTAAAATAACGGCACCAGGAGCAAACAACACACGTATGGAATAAGGTAAGCCATTTTTATTCAATATTTTCACTTTTAACTATCTCCACGGATATCTTGTAGAAAATCCCATACAAATCCTTATAAATCATGGTTCTTAAAGAAAGCTTGGGCCACCTGTGGGTTTCCCATACTTTTTAGGTAAAGCGTGTTAGGCTATTTTTATTCGCGAATCGTGACTTAATTTTTTTCTTTGATTTATGAATCGTGATTAAATTTGATAAAATCTTTTCATGTCCATGTGAACAGTTTTTTTTATTTAAACGTGACTTGTGAATGAAGGGCTTAATCGTGATTCGTGAACCATTTTGTTTTGCGCGGTGAGTTTCCGGCTATTTTATTGTTTCAAAATGGTACGTATTGTTTTTCGACCGGTTGTGGCCAGGTTTTGACAGAACAGGAACTTCATATGGATCGATCAAAGTCAAAAAACAGATTACTGATGGTCCTTTAGGCCATCGCGTCGTCTTCTGTCGCTCCGACGAAGGGCTAACGCTCGAAACATCAGCTTTTGTAATCGTTACGGTGGCCAATTTACCATTTCAACTTTGTTGATTTATCCAAATTATTTCGTTACCCCCACTGACACAGCCCCAAACAGTTTCTTTAGAAACTATCAGCCTTTACTCAAGACTGGTTTAAGCTCGAAAAAGTTAAAAACATATAAATTCGTGAATTTGGTTTATATTTTTATGTGAAATGTGCTCAAATTTTACGTGAACTCGAAAGAATTATGGATATTATTCGTGATGTGTGAAAAGGCCAAATATTTTTAGGTGACTGGGTTTTACAAAGTGGTATAGGGGACCCAGACCCAGACCCAGACCCAGACCCAGACCCAGACCCAGACCCAGACCCAGACCCAGACCAACAATTGGATTGGCCTGACTTTTACATCGTGAACGAATAAACGTTAATTTATAGCACAACGATAAAGAACAACAGTGTCTATAACAAGATAGGATCTCTATGTTTTTTATGCTATAAAAGCAAAATGTTCTTAATCGTGACGTTCACTATGCGTCTGTCCCCCAGTAGACCATAATTAAGAACCAACTAGAAATACCTGTATTATTCAGCTTATCATATAATGTACGGATATAAACAATATAAAATTAAACGAGAGCCCGTCTTCTTATGGAATTTTGAAGGACTAGCATACTTAAACAGTTTGGATTATTTGCACTTGATTTCTATGCGCGATAACCATTTCGAGCCAATCTAATTGTTAAAAGCTGATAGTTTCGAAAGAAACTGTTTGGGACTGCGTCGGTGGGAATAACGAAATAATTTGGATATATCAACAAAGTTGAAGTGGTAAATTGGCCACCGTAACGATTACAAAAGCTGACGTTTCGGAGCTTTTGTAATCGTTACGGTGGCCAATTTACCACTTCAACTTTTTTGATATATCCTAATTGTTAAAAACTGACTAGACATGAGCGTTGGTTCAGGGATGCCTCGGACGCGTAACATTTCATCTAGAAAGTATCTTGAAAAGTCCGTTTACAACGACGCTTAAGTCTATACTCTTTTTCTTCAGATACACTGACGATTAAGGATCTGTTCGATGATTTGGACTTGATGCGAGTGATAACAAGCATGTTGAATGGGCCTAACGATTCACAAATTAAGAACTACAGGGATTTAGCTGATGCGTGCCAAATATCCAGCGAATTGTACCAGAGCCTTCAGCCACCCTGTCCCGAAAGCCCCACTACATTAGTGTTGGAAGAAATCGTAAGACAGAAGCCAACTTTCACCATGTATCAGCTCTTCGCGAATTTGCGTGACATGAATCGTGTAGAAGCCATTCAGGGTCTTTCCTGCTATTTTGTGGGTAAGAAAGCGGTTTACTCATTCAGTGTTCGGTATGTCTTTTTTTTCTACTTTTTGATATCCTTGTTCGGTCCGCATCAGTGGTGGGTTGCATTTTTATGGACCATATAAGCGTCAGTAACACTTGAATCCATGAGTGACAGGGATTAAGAATGACTACCTGTTACTCTCCTGCTTGTCAGATTTTTATTTATTTATCTATTTTCTTTCCTACAGAGGAGGACATGCTGGCGATGAAAAGAAAACTACAGATTGACGATGAATAGAATCTAAAGTTACATATTTTTATCACCTTAGGAGGAAGGCAGAGGACTGCAAACTTCGCTGCAAACCGCTAAAAAAAAAAGCAAAACAAAGCAAAAAAAAAAAAAAAGCAAAAAAAAAAAATCACCCAATTTTAAACGACATCGACTCAAAACGTTCCTCAACTAGTTGCTTTCAAGGTCATAATTTGCATCATTAAGGAACGAGCTTTGTGTACGCTTTAGCTATAACATTTTTTTCCCTTTCGATGAATTTATTTTAATTTCCCCAGTTTAGAGGGGAAAATTTATAAATAAAGAGGTACGATTGTCCTTACCTCTTGAAAGAGCACGTTGATTTACATTTTTTTTTTATTGCATAATTTTGGCGCTTACTTGTCTGAGTACGTGATTGTTATACAGATTGATTGCAGTACAGGATGCAGTGATTACAGGATTACAGTGATTGCAGTACAGGATGCGCAGTGCAATACTGAAAAATCACCTCAAAATTGATGTGAAGCCTTCGTTTGCCACATTTTAATTTTTGGTGATTCCCCATAGCCTTACCGCAACAGGAGTTGCTTGGACTGAGTATGGGGGAATGCCTTTTTGTTCTTGAACCGATGGCTTTGTAATACTTTGTAAAATATCATGAAATTTCAAACAATTAAATGCATCGTGATACTGTTATTTGTTGTACTCTCCAGGAAGGCTTTTTAGAGTGCTTACAGTTATTGATCTGCAAGGAAACTCGATGGTTGTTGTCGCAACTTTTACTGCAGGGTTACTTGTATGCTGATCATGAGATACAAACTACTCTCAATTTGGGCTTTCAGTTCTCTGAAGTTGGTCCACCAATGGCCAGATCACTTCCTATCATCTCGTAACGGATTTTATGAAATACCAGGATTTTTCCTTTTACTAAAAAATCACATCATCGCGCGCAGTGAAGATACTATTTTCATCTTTCACGAGTGAGGATATTGGTGTCGCCATGGTTACTTTTGCTACTATATAATTTGTCACTTCTTCATTAGAAGTTTGACTTTTTGGAACAGAAAAAATGTATTATTGTCTATATTTCTCCTTTATAACTTTATACCGGAGGTTCATAACATTTTTGTAGCAGGCATTTTGCGATAAGTGACCACTTTAATTGCACTATTTTGCTGTTTCGAAAATTAATAAAAAAGTTGTGTTTTATGTGGAAATTTCATCAGTATCTATAAAATAAACAGAACATTACATGGCTTCTTGGAGATACGAATTTTATCTTCTCGAAGATAAAATTCGTATCCCCAAGTGGCTATGTAATATCGTTTATGTCCCTACATTATCATTGTCTGATCAGAATTGTCTGATCAGAATTTTGTATAGCCTAAAAGAAAGCCATGGAAACTCCGAAAAGCTTACCGATCTTCATCAGCAAGAATGCATTCAGAGCAAATCATATTTCCCGCTCGATAATCTTCAATCAAAAAAGCCTAAAGGGAGATATTGAAATCTCATTCCTCGAGTGGAGAGGATGAAAGCTTACATTTGAAACTAACTTCACGTAGGAGAGGATAGAGATGTTTGCTGTTTTAAGAACCTTCAGTTCGTTGTTAGTGTCGAGTCTAGTGACGTATCGTCCGTGGACAAATACCCGAAAATTGCGCGCTAAATAGAGGCTCTAGTTTATTTTAAATGTGTTCACAATGCAAGTAAAGGAAGAGATTTTGCTGCTTTTTGCGTCCAACTTTTGGATCAACTCATCTCATTCTCAAGGTCTTTCGTTTTCCCAGCCCCCTTACGGACTGACAAGAAGGTTGCTTCATCCATAATGTGTCGAATAATACATAGATAAAGCATGTTTCGCCTCATCTGGTACTCATTGGTTCATGCCTACCTTATTTTCTTTCCTCTAATGGCCTAATCCCCTAATTGCCCAGTTTCTCACCCTCTTTTGAAGACGGTATCATCTCGAAAGTTATCCCTTTGAAGCTAATACTTCAACTTACGAATGTACTGCCTCCAAAAAGTACGAATGTATTCGTGCCCCGCCCTACTAGTTTACGACACTCAGTTAAAAGGAGTTTTAATGGATTTTTATTATTTATAGTCTTTACGAAGACCCTCCACAACACAAAACTGCTTTAGTTGAATATTGACTCTCGATCGTAACTTACAGTGCAAAATGCGTTCTCAATTTCAAAGTGGATCTTCTAAAACATCCTAACTAACATGAACAAATTAACATTTTCAAAATATGCTAACTAAACGAACAAATTTCTTTAGTGTTAACCCCATTTGATTCTAAATTTTTCGGACATTTTCCGTATTCTAGTCGAGACTCAGTACTCATAAACATACGTGTATATTTAACGCTGAAACTGATTCTCTATCAATCACTGAAATGTATTGGGCGAGAATAAGCAAAATATTTCGCCATTTTCCTTAGTAACAAGTACTTCTTTTCCTGAAATATTGCTCAAGTCTTAAGAGGCCTTGCCTGGGGCTACTTTTAGTAACCCAAAGCAACTGCTACGTTCAATTCCAAGTCATTTCATAAAGGTAAATTATCTTTTACTTAGTTCTTATTAACCGAGTGGGAGGTCTGTATGGGAGAATCTTGACCAAGGTCGCCAGTACAGACCGAACGCAGTGAGGTCTGTACCAGCGACCGAGGTCAAGATTCTCCCATACAGACCGACCTAGCTCGGTTAATTATATGGCTGTGTCTTCTATGCCAATTTGTTATATTCTTTGTACCTTTTTTTTCTAGAACGGTCTAGATGCCGGTCTAGATGGGAAAATCTAGACCGCTTTCAATATTGATTTCAGCCAATTAAATTCGTGAATTCGGTAGTTCCCAGTCCTTGTGAGACACAGTCATATAATAATTGATTTACTTAACTTTTTGAACGATAGAATGGACTAAATTTTTACACATGTGCGTTTTGTTAACAATCCAAAGAATTGTTACTTAAATAAATAATACCTCGCATCAAAAAAGGGAAAGAGGTAACATTGATCAAAGGTTCGGAAGTTTGTCCATGGGAGTAGTAAACTGGAAGTCACTCGGAAAAAGTTCTGCTGCTCGTAGATAGATAAGTCTGTACGATTGACGAATTATAACGTCTGCTACACCAGCGATGTCACCGATTTCTACAAAAGGAACTGAATACGAACGTAATCATGTCAGGTAATCGCAAATATGTGTCAGAGCTAATATATCGTGTCGGAGGATGGTAGAGAAGCTGAACTAATCATGATTTCAACAGGTTTGCCTCTATCATTTTCTTTCAGTGCGAATGAAATGACCGACAACCGACATTGCATGTTAGAATAATTTTCGATTGGATGTCGCTGTCGCTGGTTTTACTTGACTATGATTGGATGTCGCTGTCGCTGGTTCTACTTGACTATGATTGGATGTCGCTGTCGCTGGTTCTACTTGACTATGATTGGATGTCGCTGTCGCTGGTTCTACTTGACTATGATTGGATGTCGCTGTCGCTGGTTCTACTTGACTATGATTGGATGTCGCTGTCGCTGGTTCTACTTGACTATGATTGGATGTCGCTGTCGCTGGTTCTACTTGACTATGATTGGATGTCGCTGTCGCTGGTTCTACTTGACTATGATTGGATGTCGCTGTCGCTGGTTCTACTTGACTATGATTGGATGTCGCTGTCGCTGGTTCTACTTGACTATGATTGGATGTCGCTGTCGCTGGTTCTACTTGACTATGATTGGATGTCGCTGTCGCTGGTTCTACTTGACTATGATTGGATGTCGCTGTCGCTGGTTCTACTTGACTATGATTGGATGTCGCTGTCGCTGGTTCTACTTGACTATGATTGGATGTCGCTGTCGCTGGTTCTACTTGACTATGATTGGATGTCGCTGTCGCTGGTT